AGTGATGATGGAGAGTATTTGATTACTTGGGATTATTAATCAAATGAAATATAAATTAGGAAATACAAAGAAGAATGACAAAATGAATAATCATATTAAACATATATATCAAAATATATATATAAAATTTATTTTTCTCAATATCTAAATATTAAAAAATTTACATACATACACATATATATATTATCAATATCTAAAGATTAGAATTTTAAAAAAACAACTGCTTATATAATATATTATCAATATTTATACTATTATTATTATTATTTTAATTGCAAGATAACAAAAGTTTCAGATCGACATGATATAAGTTTTAATTAATGAAAAGATATGAAGATCAATATAAGCTTAATAATATGAAAATTATAGGATAAAAATACTTTTCCTGATAGCAATTTATTATTGGTATATTAAGTTAATAAGTTTAAAAAAGTTTGGAATTTAGAAAAAAATGTAGTTGAAGAAATGATGTAATCAACAAGTAAAAAAAGTAAATGGTTTAGCAGTCTTTATTAGATAAGGAGATAAAAGGATAGATTAGACAATCAATAAGATTGGATAAATAATTTAGAGCTGACAAAATAGTGTATCAAGCAAGGATAGAAATATACCTAAGATAATTAGTTCAAAAAGCGGTTATTTGAAAATAATAACTCTTGCAATAAAAGTTTATAGCGATATAAATACTGATAGAGATAAATAAAACAAAGAATTCTTATGAAAATAAATGAAGTAAATTGTGAACAATTAAATATTCATTGTCAAGTATAATATTAAATGGTTGGATAAGGTTAATACTTGTATTCTTAGATTAAAATAAAGATAAATAAACTTCTTCACATATAAATGGTTTAAACTATCATCATTAACTTTTAAATCATAAATTTTGTAATTTTCCAAAATATATATAGCCAATTAATGAATTGTAAAGGAGCAATCTTAACACCTTAATAGTTAAAATGAGTTATAATTGTATTTCAATAATTTTCAAAAATGTATATAAGAAAAGGAAATTTAAGCTTAAAATAATCAATAATTTCATATAGTAGGTTGCTAGAAATTTATTAAAAATGATTTTAAGTGATTAGAGTCTAGAAAATTCTTAATTTGAGTGACTCATTATTCAAAATAAATAAATTTAAATTCAATTTAAAATTTATATTAATTTTATTCTGTAATTATTTTATCACCATGGATATGATGGTGTGAGATATAAAAATAATTTTGAATATTCATTCCTCATTTATCAAATAATATTTACATTATGTATTAAGAATTGAAATTTAAGTTTTGAAGATATATTTGTTATTAATTCACTACTTTATTCTTAATAAACTTTTCAGATTGACAAAGATGTATAATGGATTAATAAAATCAAACAGAAGTTAATTAAGGAATAAAATAAGAATAGATAATCGATGGTTAGCTTATTTTAAAAAGCTTAAACTTGTATGAAGATTTTATAAGTAAGATAAATTCAAAATTAACTGTGAATAATTATATCATATCAGCATTATAGGCTCAATCGTGATTGGAAAAATGATATTTAAATAGTTTAAATCTATTTCTAGTATATTGGATCTAAGTTCTGTTTTTAAAATTAAAAAATTGAGGATGTAGAATTCATTCAAGATAATATAATTTGTTAATTCATCATGAAAAAACATGTTAAAGGAATAGATTGAAGATGCCTAAAAGATTTTAATCTCTTATTCTTATTCAGATTGAGAAAAATTTTAAGTGAGGTCTTAGAATTCAAATTGGTAAATTGTTGCAAATCACTTATATGTATTAAAATATAGTGAAGAAATTTTGAAGGCACATATTTAAAATAAGATAATAATAAACTTTGAAAAATAAAAATAGACAGTAATAGATATTAGAATTCTTATTTGGAACATTCATTAAAATGTTTTACACAGAGAAGAAATAACTTTGTGTATAAATGGAAAAAATAATTCAATAAAATAGTTGTAAGAAGATTGAAGAGAAATATTTAAGACCATGCATTATTTTATGACTTTAATAATAAAATAAGAATAAGCCTATATATACCTGCTTAAGATTAATAATAATAAATTATATTAAAAAATTTTAATTGATTGGAAATTGCTTTTATATTGAAACAAAATGATTATGAATTTTCAATTAGACTTACGTCTTTGAATAATTAGACTTCTAAGAAAGTTAGCTTTGGAGAAATGAGACCTATTATAGTAATAGCTATTTGTTTATATTCATGAATTGAATTATGAGGGCTAGATCTAAATTGAATAGTATTATGGTATTTGTTTCTCAACAGAAAAATAGGAGTTTATAGAAAAACTTTTAGTAGATAAATACAAAAATAAAATGCGTATTTATAGAGATTTCTAATGCATATTGTATTGTGAATAGAGAACTCCTATTTTAAACAACTATGTATAGAATATAAATGGAAGATAGAGAGTTTCATTAAAATTTAATGTCAATGACAATTTGTTTATATGTGATCCTATAACATAGACAAATATTAGATGAAAAATAGAGTATAATAAGAGTATTCTTATTTAATGTTAATCTTGATGAATTCATAAAAAACTTATAGGAAAGAAGTAATAATTAGATGGTTCAATTGACACATGAAGTAATTCTACCAAGAGACATTTGCTAAGATATGAGATCTGTTGATATGATATGGTATTAATATCAAAAAAATCTTGTGAAATAATGGAGAAATCAAACAAATTGTCAGTAGTATCAAATATTGCCTTTTAGATTTATAACCAAATTTTAAGTATTAGTGTTAATAAGATATGCCAACACTGCGATATGTTGAATTAATGGAATTAAAACTAATAAAATGGAATTCATTCAGAAAAGTTTTATATGTGAATAAGATATACTCTAGATATAAAATTGATGAATTAATATAATTATTTTTAATCGAACATCCATTACTATAAACATCTTTATCGGCAAAATAAATAGTAGGCTAAAAGAAAGTAATTTAATCTAACAACCCTTATTTAATTTGAAGAAAGGGTATATTTTTTTGATGAGATATCAAATAATTATGCAGATTGAAGAGTTTATAGAATTATTAAAATATAAGACTTGGTTAATCTCTATGAATGAAAATCTCGAGGATATATTAGAAAAATAGAGTTAAATGGAGTTTAAAGATTAATTAATCAAAATTTATGACAAAAAATTAGAATAACTTATAAACTTATTAAATAAAAAGTAATTTAAATTTAATTATATTGATTTTTAAAGCAAAATTCTTTAAAAATTACAAAAATAATTTAATTACAAATTTATTTCTAGATATTTAGAAGAAAATTATTAAATAACTTCTCTATTAATCTTTATATCAATATTTTGTATAAAAAACCATTTAGAATAGAATTAGGATTTACAATAATTAAATTTCTGAAATAAAGGTTGCTTAAAATGTTGATCCATAAACTATAAAAATAAAAATAATTTATTTATTTAGTTCAAAAAAAGTGAAGGCGTTTATAATTAGAATCAAAATGAAATTACACAATTCACTTATTTTTTCTTTATATCGTTTTGTTTGATTGATCATTATAAATGGAGAAATTTAATCGATTATATTCATAATCCCTTAGAATAGAGTTTATTATTACAAATTACCATTATAATATTTGATTGACCAATACGGGTTTGTACTTCTAATGAACCACTCTATACCCCTGAAGACTCTCTGAGAAATATGTAACAAAAACCGAAAATATTCACGAGGTACATCCAGAAAAAGTGAACACATGAGTCCTTTTTTCCTGACGTCAGCTCACGATCAAGCTCTGACAAACTAGGATGGGTAGGGGATAATGTTGAAAAAAAAGGAGATCTTATGATGACTACTGATTTAGGTAGGAAAAAGAGTCTTCCGCAAATATAAGAAATTCCTTAGATAACAGGAATGTCAAGATACCTGATCAGATTAAAAAATTTTTTTTACCAATACTTCAAAGAACTATGGCAATTAAAAATGAGAAGAAAATCTTGTAGTGGAAGCCCAAATGTGAATGTTAATATTTGTTATTTATTTCATTTTTAATTTATAATATTTTTGAATTTTTTCTAAAATCACATGTTTGATTTTATTTGAAAAAAAATAAAGAAGACGATCTATATTATCTTACCGATCGAAAAAAAATAGAATAATATTTTATCACATGATTCTATTTACACTAAGCTTAAAGGAACAACCTAAATTTATAGGAAAATTTGCAACATCTCAAATCGATAGAAATATTACTATTTATTCCTTCATTTTTATAATTAAACTAGCAGAAGTAGCCAGAGAATTGAAGAAGATAAACCTAATTTGGGCTCGATTTAATAATTTAATTATGATTTATAAGGTATTTTATTTGGATTCGAGTATTTAATGCAAGTTTAAGTTTAAAAAACAATTTGCTGCTTAAAGAAATTGTCATTTTTAGATAAAGATATCTTTTTTAAGGTAAATTAAATTCATATATCATCAATACCTATTTACAATTTAGATATATATACTAAAATCACCCTAATGTAACTAATTCCTATCAAAATTAGCTCATTATGCAAATAATATATTTTGCCTTAATATCTTTATATAAATATATATATAAAATTATTAGTCGGAATAAATAGATTTTACTTTAATTTATAATTTTATGAACAATTTATTAATAATACTCATGAAAATAATGGATTCTTCACAATTTATGATTATCTTCTGCAATTCTATATTAATTTTTATAGTAAATCCTTGCAGACCCAAATTAGTTCTATAATTATTCCAGAAGATAGTATGATTGCTTGAATCCATCCTAATAAAATTTTTTTCTATTCATTAAAAAATTCATTACACTCTTAGATGTATAAGAATGAACTAATTATAAAAGTTAATACCGATATCTCAACCACCATTTAAACAATGTAATATTTTTTATTAAAAAGACAGCGATAATTATATAGGAATCTAATCTAAAGTATACTTGTCATAAGGAGTAATCCTAATTAAAGTATTTGGGAACTTTAAACATAAATCAAAAATAATAAAAAGAAAAATTATCTACCAAAATTTAGTGTTTCAAAAATTTAGTAGCTGTTCTTCTTTGATAATTTTTATTTACTTTTAAAAAAATTTATGAAAATGGTAAAATAAAGGATAAGTATTATGCTTGCTATTATAATTTGTACAATATCTATGTAATTTTTGGTTTAAATGTTTCGTGTATACAATAATGTTTTAAATATTATATCCCAACCATTTAGAAATAAGGCTTTTTATAATCCTTAAAAAGACATAAATCTTTTCAATTTAAGTAATTCCATGCAAATTTTATAAAAGGATTAACTAAACTTAAAAATTACTTTTGGATTTATATATAATGATAATGATGACATATAGTAAAAGTACCTAGAACAAAATATCCAATTGTATAACACCTTTTTAATAAATTGAAATAACAAAATAATGAATAAAAATACTAAGAATTGAAATATTTGGCTTGAAAGATTGATGATCAAGTTAGAGCTTTATTTGTACACATTAAATTTTCCATCAGAATATTCTTAATTTTACTAAATATCAATAAACAGTAAAAGTTGAGGGAAATAGATGAAATCAAGTAAAGGTTGAATAGTTATCATATCATTGACAGTAAAATAAATCTCTAAATTTCCTGGATAATTCAGGTTAATGTATCTTAAGTATTATTAGAATTAAAGAATTGCTATAATTTCAATAAACAAATCCCCACTTCCTAATAGAAGACTTATACCAGTAATTCCAGACAAACTATAAATTATAAATTTATTAAGATTTTTCAAATTTTAAGAATAATCATTCTGTTTCTCATCAAGAAATTTTGGATATTGCAATGTTATTGTTTTTTCAAAATTATCCAACACAGCATCATCTATATTAGCCACAGTCTAATTTACTTTAATTTTCAAGACTGGTCTAAATTCAAGTAATTATGATATTTCTATTTAGACAATAAATTCTCCAAAATTTACATCTGATCCAACATCCTATATAATATATAAGCTGCTATTCCAGTTCTTCTTTTCTATATTTAATATTTGAAAATTTATAGTTTCTGATAAAGGTTAAGCTGTGTAAATTTTTACTTTTTAATTAAATTAGATACTAATATACTATTTATTTTAAGTCATATTGAGATAATTAATCACTAAGTTTGGAGCTTTGACAAATGTGCATAAGCTTAGAGAATCTCTTGTCATAGTAATGCATATCCAATTTTATTCAATTAAACAATCCTTGCATCCATCCACTGCTTAATAATTTCCATCATCACAATCCTCTTATTCCTAAAGCAATCCATCTCCACAATTTTATTACTATTAGCATTGATTTGAAATAAGTAATTAGTATTGGTAATTGCACTCTAAACAAGTACCTTAATAGCAATCAAAGCAATTTTATGGGCAAGAATACTTGCAATTAAAACAACCATCATAAGGTTGCAAATTACCATCATCACAATCCTCTTCTTTTGTAATAATTAGATCACCACAAACAGAAAGACAACTATTATTAAAAAATTCGTATCCATCTTCACATCTTAAAATGCATTATCCTCGTTCACATATGTTGCAATCTTCAATGCATTGAAATTTGCAATTAAAACAACCATCATAAGGTTGCAAATTACCATCATCACAATCCTCATATTAATCAAGTATTAATTTATCTCCACAATAAGGTAAACACATATTGTCTTAGATTTAAAATCCAACTTCACATTCTAAGCAAATTGTAAAGTAGTTGGTTTTACAATTTTAAATTGATACAAATCTGCATTCCTAACAATCATCCCATACCCCATTAACTGCCAGTTCACATTATTCAGTTGAATAAGGAATTAAATTACCATCCCCACATAAAGGCTCACAATTAAAATTAGCATTAATAACAAATCCATCTTAACATTGTAAACAAATTCCAAATTAACAAATTGAACAAAATTGTATACATGAATATTAGCATAAATAACAAGAATTATTTGATATTAGATTACCATGATCACATTATTCTTAGCCTTGAATGATTCCATCACCACAAGTTGGATAACAATGTTCTAAAAATTCATCATAAATCCAACCTTCTTAACAAATTAGACATTTATCATCAATTTACTCTAAACAACCTTCATTCAAATTATTAAACATTATTTCTGTTTAAGTGTAAAATATTTCAAAATCTCTTATTACACTATATTATGAATCTATTTAGGTTTTAATATTTAACAATAATATAGGATCATTATGATTTCTTATTAATATTTCTATTTATTAATTGCTAGAACTAATTGAGTATTTACCATATAAATAGTCTACTACTATAATAGTATTCCAATATTTAAAAAATCTTATTAATACATCTTAATGAGGAGGTAATTCAGTAGAATATTTAATTTCTTTAAATTACAACAATTAGCAATATCCACAAGAGAAATAATTAATATAATTATAAGATTATACAAAAGTCCATCCATCAGAGTTTGTGATCAATTTCTAATTAAATGAATATTAATGCAATTTCCATTATAAACAAAATGTATGATAATTCTCTATGCATTCAGCACATTCATACTAACATTTAATGATACTTAATCTCAATGATATTAATCCTCCTGCATTAAATTATTATAGATACATCCAAACAGTTCTTCTATTATTTTAACGAATGATAGAAATAGTATTTATATAATCAAGTTGTATATTGCCACAAAGTTAAGATGATGATATCACTGACTAATAATTGATTTATTGTTCATCTATATAAAAAAAAGGTTAATAATTGTTATCAATACTTTTGTAATTAAGAATATAATTACTTAAGATATTCTGCATCCACGATAATATGAGAATGAGGTTCTAGATCTAAAAATATTCTGCTAATATAACTTTAACCACTAGTAGATTTCCCAAAATATTGAATCCCTCCACAAGTATTGAAATTAACATAATTATAATAATCTTGCCATTCTAAAATAAAAATAATAAGAAATTACCATCTCTTATGGCAGAATTTGCATGAAATTAATAAATGAGAGTTTGATGAGTTGTATAAACTAAAACAATGAGTAGTATCATTATAAATTAATATAAATTATATAATTATGTGTTTTAATTAAATGCACATAATTTAAGATTAAAATCTTAGTACTCAAATTTATTATTTAAACAGATAAAATGAACAATAACCATTGATAATCAAATTCATTATTATTTATTATTGATATATATATTTATACTCTTTATAATAATATTAAAAGAAATTTATCAACCTAATATAAGTAATTTGATTCAATAAATCAGCTTAATATGATAATTAATTATTTTGAATCTCTATATATTAAAATAGTTGTTAATTCTTGAATTCTAAAAATTAAAGAAGTATAGGGGCTTCTGTTTAATTACAAATCTTTTATAATAAATTATTGTGTCTTTATCACATAAAATAAGACTTTATTAAATAAACTAAAATATCCTATTTAATTATCAAGTAATAGTACATCCAGTTCCATTATTAAGTTTATATTAGTAAATTTCTTGATAATAGTTCAATTGTAACCAATAAAGTGTAAGAGATTTTTATTATTTTTGTTAACACCATTTGATTATGTCTAATTTATGATTTGGAAGTATTATTATCATTCAATCAATTACTGTAGTAAAAGGGATAGATGGAATGCTCATTCAAGAATCACTTTATGCAGCTTCTCTAAGATTAAATCTGAGAGAGTGATGGATGTCAAATTTGATTTCCATTTATGATATTAACTCATAAAGGTCCTAAAATAGTTTTTAAATACTTATTGCAATAAAATTAATTAAATCCATTATCAAATATTAATTTCTCTAAATTTGAGATTCCCAATAATGAATATATAAATATATACTTACCTCTTAATAACTTTTAGGTGGCAGTCCAGCAGGAGAAATATGGAAAATTAATTCGAAAGCATGATAAGATCTTTAAATTTTTAAGCCTCTAGTAAAATTAAAGTTCAGAAATTACTTTAAGAAAATAAAAAAATGAATAATACATATAGATCATAGTTATTTTGAGAGACATTGTAATAATAATGAAAGATTAAATCATCAAAATTTAAAGTTTAAACCGTAAGGTTAGTTTAATTATTAGCAAAGATATATCATTAACAGGTTTGTTTAAATTATAATTGGCTGCTACCTTTAGAATATATCTCAAGCAAAAAAGTGTAAAGTTAATAATTAAATATGAATTTTAATCATCTTATTTAATGAGATTGATGATTATTCTAATTCTATGAATTTTAAATGAAAAAGAGTCTTTTACTTCTCCATTCTGTATACTTTATTAACTTGTTTTACTCTAATTTTACGGTTTTCATTTTTTTTATAATCTGGTTAAGACTTATAACATTTATAGTTAGAAGATTAATATTTACAATTGCAAAAAAATTAAAATATTCAGGTGTTAAATGAAATATTCTTTAAGAGTACAAATTAGATCATTGATTCCCAAGAATATAGTACTACAGAGAAGTTTAGAAATACAATAATTGAGGATTAAACTAAATATTTAAAAATTATAAACATCCTAATCCTTTCTTAAATCAAATTAAAAACCACTCAGTTTTTAACTATGTGAGAAAATTTATAATAATAGGATCATTAAAATAGGAAATGATATTATTCTTCTATAAAATTATGAGAGAGCCTGTCCTTGAATAAATCTTTGAATTAGAAAATGATGATAATCTGTTTAAAATATCTATTTAGATTCATTACAGAAATAAATAATTAGAATTTAATATTCACTGCTTTCGTTAAATAAAAACAATTTTCTTTCCTTAGTACCAGTATAAACTTATTTGTATTTCCATAAATTTAACTTTTTAAAATTTATCTGAAGTAATTAATGAGAAAATGGAGATATTAATTATAATATCAAATATTTCTAATGATTAAAAGTTTTACAAAAAAGATAAAACTGTTAAGATCAATGTTAATTTTGGTATTTTCTTTTAATCATTTAAGGCTATAGCTTGTTAAAATATAAGAAAGAAAAATAAAGTGAATTTTATTTTTTATTAGATTATAATATCAAAAAGATGAACTGTCAAATATTTTAATTAAGGTAATCTTTAGCTTCATACCGATTTAATTTTTGAATTAGCATTTTTTTGAAATTGAAATTAAATATTAATATATTGAATTAATAAAACCAATAAATAAATATATTCCTTATATTGATGATTTTATTAATTAATTTAATATTGTCCATAATCACTAATTGTACCTTAAATAAAATTATCATTAAATTCAATAACTTATTCTAAGACAAATTATCTTTCACAAATTGTATTTCCATTATATTATTTTCTACATCTTATTAAGTTGAAATTTTTCCATTCTTAATCATAAGAATACATTTTTAAAAGGAGATATCGATCAATCCTTTAAACTGAAAGAGCATTAAATAATTCAAGAATTCTATAATCTAAATTGTTTTATGGCCTCATAAAGTGCTATTTGCAAATCTGGATTAAAAATATTGAGAAATATACAATATTATTTTAAAATTCCTGTTTCATCATTTAAAATGTTTTAGCACTATAAACAAGAATTGAATTCTGAGGTGAATCAGAGGTAGACTATACCTTCATTAATTGGCTACAAAATTATATTTTTTTGCTGTTGTATATTATGCTAATTTTGTATCGCTTCAGACTGCAAAAGTGCTAATTTTGTATCGCTTCAGACTGCAAAAGTGAACCAAATAATTTCTTTTTTATTACCAAGAAATTGTAAATTTATTTTAATTTGGAAATATGAGCCGTAAATTCATCTATAGATTAAATTTTTTAAATACATAAATTAATCAGCAAATTGCATTAGGAGTCAAAACAAGATAACTTAGGGTACACTAATGATTACAAAATAATGATATCTGCAATTTGAATCTCTATAATTCTTTATAATATAACAATGATGAATATTTCTATTTAACATGTTTTTGGTTTTATTGTAATTTATCAATTAATAAATATATTATCAGAATTTTATTAAAATAACTTATTTTTTCAAGGGCACTTCTTATCAAGCTGAACTCAGATCAGATTAAAATAATTTTGCATTATTTGTCTAATTGCTCAGTATTCATGCTTTTTAAGTTAAATCTTAATCCATCTTATCTTGTAATCAAGCGAAATTTTCATTAAACTATATGATCATTTCATTGCTATTATTTTTTTTAATTAAAATTCTTAGTATGGATTAATAAAAGTAAAGTAATAAAAAAATGAGGAAAAGTTTAGAAATAATTATTCTAATAATTAAGTGAAATACAAAATTTCTAATATTATGATATTCTTTAAGATTATAGTAATAAACAAAGAAATCTGGTTTTGTTATCTCAATCTTAATTCACTTTTGATCTATAACAAACTTCTACTTTACTTTAGTTTATCTTTCTACAGTCTCGGCGATTCCAAAGGATCATAAAATAATTTATATATATAGGCAAGATATTTAATCTATTTATCTGATAAATAATATTTGAAATAATAATGTATAATAATTCAAATTCCAATTTTTTTTATGAATTCATATATCATCTACAAAAGGTCATACTTTTGTCCATAAGGGTCTTATACTTGTTATTTTTCTGTAAACCTAATTATAAATTAAAATTGCAGAAGTGTTAAATCAAGTAATTCAAAAAATTTATTAAAATAGAATAAATAAAATAAATTACAATCTAATAAATTATTTTAAATAATCATTTTATTTTCGATTAATCTAATGATGTTGACTAAATTTTTTAAATTTTGATTATTCAATTATTATCTTCTTAATAAAAAAATAAGGAAAACTATTAATATGTATATAATAAACTTATAGATATGATTATTATAATTCTTTAATTAAAAATATTATTAAATTCTTCCTATTAAATGATTACCTTTACTACAGCCTTTGATATCAAATTTTCAGCCTTCAATAAAAACTCAGTAATTTCCAATTTATTAGTGATATTGATTTCAAATTCAAGTTCTATTAAAGAGGCTTCTTCAATTTATAAATCAAATAAAAAATAATATGGATAGTTTAATTAAAATGATAATATTATGTTTGGGTNATGATGAATATTTCTATTTAACATGTTTTTGGTTTTATTGTAATTTATCAATTAATAAATATATTATCAGAATTTTATTAAAATAACTTATTTTTTCAAGGGCACTTCTTATCAAGCTGAACTCAGATCAGATTAAAATAATTTTGCATTATTTGTCTAATTGCTCAGTATTCATGCTTTTTAAGTTAAATCTTAATCCATCTTATCTTGTAATCAAGCGAAATTTTCATTAAACTATATGATCATTTCATTGCTATTATTTTTTTTAATTAAAATTCTTAGTATGGATTAATAAAAGTAAAGTAATAAAAAAATGAGGAAAAGTTTAGAAATAATTATTCTAATAATTAAGTGAAATACAAAATTTCTAATATTATGATATTCTTTAAGATTATAGTAATAAACAAAGAAATCTGGTTTTGTTATCTCAATCTTAATTCACTTTTGATCTATAACAAACTTCTACTTTACTTTAGTTTATCTTTCTACAGTCTCGGCGATTCCAAAGGATCATAAAATAATTTATATATATAGGCAAGATATTTAATCTATTTATCTGATAAATAATATTTGAAATAATAATGTATAATAATTCAAATTCCAATTTTTTTTATGAATTCATATATCATCTACAAAAGGTCATACTTTTGTCCATAAGGGTCTTATACTTGTTATTTTTCTGTAAACCTAATTATAAATTAAAATTGCAGAAGTGTTAAATCAAGTAATTCAAAAAATTTATTAAAATAGAATAAATAAAATAAATTACAATCTAATAAATTATTTTAAATAATCAATATATATATAAATAATTTTATAAAAACACTGCCTTCCCTCCACCGAAGGAAATTAGATGTAAAGGGAAAAAAGGAAGGTGAAAAAAATAAAAAGGCAGGTGCCTGCTACGCTTGCGCTTTACTCCTGCTCTTGGGGCCTCTAATATTAAAATAATATACAGTTAAAA